CCTCCTGCCAAGGTTACCCGCCCCCATGGGTTACTGCTGGTCGCACAGAGGGCACACTTGTGAGGATCTTGTAGCCCCCACCCCAGGGCAGGGGTCGCTGGTTCAGCCTCCTGAGAGAGGGCAACAGGGCCTGCGCTCCCAGCTCCTTGGAGTTCTTACTCGCCCCTCCCCATTTTTCTTCCCCCTTAGCTTCCTCCCCCCCTCCCTCCCTCAGCTCTCTCTCCTCTCCCCGCCCCCTCTTCTCAGCTCCTCATTCTCTCTGAAGATGATGTCATGTGTGAACGCTGCCCAGCAGGGGCCAGAGGACAGGAGATGGTGACATCTGAGGGTGAAGATGTCCCTGGGAGGGGGAAGAGGACACACGAAGGAGACGGCCTCTGAGCTGATGTCACTGAAGCGTTGGGACCTTAATTGCCACCCCGCGTTTCCATGATTTCATGTAAAAGAATGCAGGCGAGGATAAAAATAAATCCAGCCATAAATAAGCGTGGAATCGGGAGTCGCGTGGAGCAACTAACAATGCCAATCTCTGAGCACCTGCGCCTTGCCCCGCAGCCGGCCGCCAGGGGCAACCAGCTTCCCAGTCCCCACACCGCCGCCGTGGGCTACTTCCTCCTCCATGCTTGTGTTTCTAAGACCCGGGAAGCTGAGCTGAGGCTGAAGGGACTCCCCCCACCCCACGCCCCCCAACACTGGTCGCCACGCCCCCCGCATTCTGAGCAGAGCTGGCTTCGCCAATCCAGGCAGCTCCCCTGCAGCTGGAATCTCTGTCTCAAAAACTAGTGGGCTGTGCCCCAGGAGCCCTGGTGCTGTAGCGGGTTCCAGGTTGGGCTGCTAGCAGCAAGGTCAGCAGTTCTAAACCTTCAGCTGCTTCGGGAGAGAAAGAAGAAGCCGTTGGACTCCCTTAAAAAACATGCAATCTCAAAAACCCAAGGAGGGAGTTCTAAAAGGTCTCTATGAGTTAGAAGTGACTTGGTGAATGTGAGTTGTTGGTGCTTGGGGGTTTGGGTTGCACACCAGGGGCCCCTGGGGTGATGGGAAAGGTTCCCCTATCTCTGGCTTTTCCAGCGCCTTCCCTCAGTCCCCCACAGCCCCCCATACATCCCTGCTCTGCTTTTCTCCTACCTCTGCCTCTCTACCTTAGGATCAATCCTTCAGCCCCCAAGTTCCTCCCTCGATAGACCCAAGCCCTGTCTGTGTAGCTCCTTCCAGACCTCTGCCCCCCCTCCCCCAAGGTGTCATGGCCCTATCTCCCTTCAGGACCCTCTTGCCTGACCCCTGATTGCCTCCCTGCGATTGAGCAGGAAGCATTGATCTGTGCAGGCAGGCCCAGGCCTGCTGCTTACTAGATTGGAATTGATCCGGCCTTTCACTGGGCTGCCCACCGAGGGCAGAAAGAGCCCTGGTGGCCCTGTGGGTATGCAGCTACCCGCTAAGCCAAAGGCCGGTGGTTTGAAGCCACCAGAAAGACATGGTGATCTGCTTCTGTACAGATGACCATCCACAAAACCCTCTGGGAGGTAAAGGGTCCCGTGAGTCAGAATCCACTCGGTGGTACAGACAAGGGCTGCGGGGACCAGGGCTGCGTGGGGACCAGGGCTGCGGTGTGGGCTTGCTGAGGGCTTGCTCCTCCTTGTTGCCTGAGCACACTGAGGGGGCCTATCCTGCCAGCTTCAATAAGCCGCCTGGCCAGGAATGTCTTCAATTCATCTATTTTCACTCTAGCTTCTTAACCAAGAGCCTGGGTGTGGCTGAGGGGTTAAAGACCTCTTTTTACAGATTAGTGCCCTCAGGCTCAGAGAGGAGGAGATTTGTAGTAGAGTGAATAGATGAATGGCTCCACCCACTGCATTTGGCCTGCATTCCTTCTCCCAGCCCTGGGCTTCCAGTGCCCAGTGCCCGGGCCTGTTCAGAGGTGAAGCCAGGAACGTCTATGCCCAAAGTGGCTCCAGGAGGCCAGCCTCCCCTCCCAAAGGCACTAGGAGGGCCCCCAGCCCCTCAAATAAGAATCCCATATGAGAGGCCCCAGAAGCCCAGGCTAGTCTCCCCTGTGCCATCAGGCCCTGCTGATGCTGAGCACCCACAGGGAGCAGGGAGGCAGGGTTCATCCAGGTTCCACCTCCTTTCTCTGAGCCTCAGTTTCCCTCTCGGGTCAAGGAACCCTGGATCTCAAGGAATGCCAAGCAGACCAGTTCCTCCTCCTACAGAGGGTCTTGTCTCCTAACCTGCACCCCACCCCCTGGTTCCCAGTGGTCTCCTTCCTACCTCACCTGGTTCTTTCTCATCAATGGGTGGGCATCCGAGGGAGGGGAGGGGCCTTCCAGGTGAGCCCTTGGTGGCTGTTCTCTGCTCTCTGCTTAGGCCTGCTCTGCAGCCCCTCCCCACCTGTGTCCATCTGCTTTTCCTGGTGCTTAGTTGGTGGGAGGGCCCCTTGGGTCTCCCCAGACCCCTGCCCACCACGCTGGTAAATGGTCTCATTCATCCATCACGCTGGACCCCCCCCACACACACACACAAGTTAGAAAAGGAAGTGTTGCAGAAGTGTGTGGGGAAGGGGTGGGAGATGGGGGGAAGGGGAGGGAAGAACAATTCTTTGGGTCCAGAAGGGTCAGGAGGAAGCAGCTGGAAAATGAGAATTGGAAACCTGTCCCGTGGACACCTGTATGTGTCCAGAACCCTGGGACGGCGTAGTAAGCCTGGTTCTCTGGAGCGAGGAGAGGCAGTCCCTCTGATCTGGGCAGGGCTGGGGCCCAGCCTCCGGGCTTTGGGCAGCGTCTACCCTGGCCTGGACGAAGAGGGCGCTATGGAGTGTCCAGGGTCCTTAGCAGTGGAGGACCTCCCTCTGCCCAGTTGGTGGGGAGGGCAGCAAAAAGGGAGGGCAGCAGGTGTGAGCCGCCTGCCTGTGACTTCAGTGTCCCGAGCACCACATCCCATCCCTTTGTCTGGATCTATTACCAGGTTTCCTTTCTGCACACCCACTCGTCACCCTGTGCCAGGTTCCCAGTCCTTGGGAGATGACCGCGTGCTCCTCCAGGGCAGGAACTGGCTATTGATTGTGAAGGTGGCTCCTGGTCTCATTCAGTCAGGGCCATCTTCCCGGATTCCTCCAGATCTGAAATTACATTAGCTCAGGATTGCTTTTCTTTAACTCAGCTCACTTTGGATGTAAAAAACGGGCCAGCCCGTATTTCCTCCTGTAAGGTGCCAATAACAAACTCAGCTACACATATAAAGTGCAGAGCAGGGGGTGGGGGGACTCGAGGTGTGTAAATAAAAGGAAACCTTATCTCACTTCCTGTTCTCATGAAGTCCAATGGAGCCTGCACTTTCGGTGAGGCTTGGGGGCTGTCCTTGGTGGCTCTACCATGGAAATGGGGATTGGAGCATCTGACAGCTGGCAGAGGTACTGTCAGGCTTCAGGCAATCACGCTGAGCATGGTGGGCAGGTCCTGTGAGCTGTGGGACTCTGTGTCCATGGAAGCTAGGTTACGCTTTCCTTGTTTTGTGTGGGAGGTGCTGGGCCTCCTTGGGCTCTGCCCCTCCAAGGGACACATTTTCAGCCTTAGCCCAGGGTGGCGTGTGTATGTTGGGGGCAGCGGCCGTGGTGGCTTTTCCTGGGACATGGCAAGTCTTCTCTTTCCTCCTATGGTTGGTCATGGGGTTGAAGCCCACCCAGCCATTGGTGAACAGTGGGTGTGTGGAGGGAGGGTGAGGGGTGGGAGGTTGAACTTAAAAGAACCTGGCTGCGTCCCAGAATTCCCAGCTTCTTCCTCGTCACCCCAGCCTGCCCTGCAGTGTGGGTGTGAGTGCCTGTGTCTGTGGCAACTCGGATGCCCCGTCCTGGTCCTCAGCTGCACTGTGGGAGTGCATTTTGGAGTCAGAGGATTGTGGGGCTGAGGGTGTGGGGGGAATCACAGTGCAAGGGGGCGGGGTGTCAGTCTGGGAGTGGGGAAAATCTAGGGTTTGACCCAGGACCACGGCTGAAGTGCACTTCAACAATTCTTCCCACCCCAGAGGGCATGGTGGCCCCAGGCCCCTGGTCACTGCTGGGCTATAGCATGGCCCCCACTGAGGCTGAAGGGGGACAACAATAGGGCCTGGGTCAGGGGGGAGTGGAGCTCCCTCGGGCCTGGGGACTGGAGGGGCATTTGGTTTGAGAAGGGGTTTAGAGTTCTGCGTGGAGACCGACCGCAACCCCACCCCCGGCCTTTCTCTGCTTTTTGCTTCTTTTGTCCTGTCCTTTGTGCGTCCCTCCTAGGTCATGAGCGTGTATGTGAAGGGGGAGGGGAGAAGAGGAAAGGAGGGAGGAGGACCCCTGGGGAAGGGCTTGTGAGCTGTTCTGTCCGCTTTGTGCCTCCTTTGAGTTTGTCCCCAGTCCATCGCTCACTGTGCCCAGCCTGTCCTGTCCGTCCATCTGTGTCTCTGGGGAGGGAGGGAAGAGGGGGTCCCGTGCCCCAGGCTCTGGGCCTCTGTGCCCCTGGAGAAGGCCAGCGTGGACGGAGCCCACATTCCAGTCCCCCTGCGTAGCCCCGCCCCCTTCCCGGCCCGAAGATTAGCGCAGCTCGGGCCTGAACTCTCCTCCCTGGGAAGGAAGAGTGCAGCCTGCTTCCGTAGGTTTGCAGAAAGCCTCTCAAAGGAGCAGCCCCCTCCTCACCGGGGCCCACCCGCGTTAAGAAGGAGGAAGGGCGGGCGAGATTGGTAGACAGGTGGCCAGGACACTCAGCCCCGCCCCCTCCTGATCCCAGCCCTGGCCTCACTAGCCGCCCAGATGCCAGCAAGCCTGCGCTGGTTCCTGGCCTGACTCCCAACCCTTCCTAGGAGCTCTAGGGTCCCTCCCCACCCTTCCTCCTCCTCTCATCCCTTAGAGGGGGATGGGCAGCCCTGACCCCCTCCCCTCCCCCCTGCCAGCCCGCCCCGACTTGCAGAGAGCGCTGGCGGGGGATGGGCAGCCCCCGGCCGGGCACGCCGTGACCCTGCCGTGCCCCTCTCCCCTCTCCTAGATCCGGAGCGGAGCAGCCCCCCCATGCTGTCTGCGGATGATGCCGAGTACCCGAGGGAGTACCGGACCCTGGGGGGCGGGGGGAGCGGGGGCCGGCGCTTCTCTAACGTGGGGCTGGTGCACACGTCCGAGCGGCGGCACACGGTGATCGCGGCCCAGAGCCTGGAGGCGCTCAGCGGGCTGCAGAAGGCGGACGCCGACCGCAAGCGCGATGCCTTCATGGACCACCTGAAGAGCAAGTACCCGCAGCACGCCCTGGCCCTGCGAGGCCAGCAGGACCGGATGCGCGAGCAGGTGAGCGCGCGGGCGCGGGCGCGGCGGGCAGGGACAGGGCCGGACGCCGCACTCCCAGGCTCGTTCCAGTTCTGGAGGCGTCTGGAGCTGAGATGGGGGCATGAGCGAGCCGTCCTTCCAGGGCGGCTGCCCAGGTTTGGCCCTTTTCTGCAGCTGGGGAGGGCAGGGACGGGAGCTCAGCCTGCATCCTCTGCCTACTGGCCTGGCGTTGGGAGCATGTGATTGGTCCGAGGGAGCCGGGCCTCTGTCACTCGGCGCGGGACTGGGCCGAGTGGCGGGAAGGAGTGTCTTGGAGGCCAAGGGAGGGCTTGGAAGGGCAGTTTTGGCGACTGGGCTGAGGCCTTGAGTGTCTGAGGGTCCAACGGGTGGTGGAGTGGCGACGGTCGAGATGACACCTCTGTGACCCGGCCCCCACTGGAAGGTCAGGACAGGGAGCCTCAGGAGCGTGACTCTTGGCAGTCCCTGAATGAACGGGGCCCCCAGCTTTCCTCCTGGCTGCTCCCTGCTCCAAGACTCACCCTGTGACTTGGCACAAGAGGCTGTCTCTGTGTGCCTCTGCCTCTTTCCTGTCACCAGCCAGGCTCAGAGAGGAGACAGGGCCCTGCCTCTGGCCAACACCTGCCTCCTTTTATAGAGAGGGAGACTTACCATTTGAACCCACCCCAGATCTCTGAGTTCCTGAATAATTCTCTCCATCCAGTGCGACCTTCTTGTCCATAGGGAAGTTCTTTCTTGGGACTTGCCGTCTGCTTGGGACTTGCCGTCTGCTTACAGCCACACGAGGGCGAGAGTTGGCAGTGGGGTTGGGTGTGCTGAGCCCTGGGATTCAGGTGTTGTCCTGTCTGGGAGAAGGCTCTGGGGAAGGGTGGCAACTTTCATTCATGGCTGGGGGAATAGACCTCCACCCCTACTTGTCTTGCCATGACACCAGTTTCCAGGCTCTGATGAGAGGGGCTGGGGATGGGGAGGTGTACTTGCACCCTGCTCCCTCTGCAAGGAAGAAGGACACACACGGAGCATTTCTGGTGCCTTATCTACCCCTTAGAGGGGCCCTGGTGCCATTCGTGGTTACAAGTTGGGCTGCCAACTGCAAGGTTAGCAGCTCGAACCCACCGGTGGCTTCATTGGAGAAAGGCTTTCTACTCCTGAAACAGTTAGCCTGGGAAATGCACGAGGACAGTTTTAGATGTTCTAGATGGTTGTTATGAGTTAGCATCAACTTGATGGCAATGAGTTTTGTTTAGTTTTATCTGCCCCTTTGATGTCGACTCTGTTCTGTCAGATGTTTTCCCAGCCCCCAGTCCCAGAATCTTGCTGGAAGCAGGGCCCAGAGGGGGCCGAGGAGGGCCTAGTTGTAGATGAAGAAGATGTGGCCCCTTATCCATCAGGGAGCCCTTTGTCCCTGGGTTCCCTCTGTGTGTGCTCTGGCTGGGGCCGGGCATCTAGCTGAGAGAAGGCTGGGCAAACTTGAATCTGAGGGGCCCAGTCAGTTGAGAGGGGAGATCTCTAAGGCAGGCCTAGTCAGGGAAGGCTTCCTGGAGGGGATGGCATGGAGGAAGCACTTGTCACTTTGGGTAGAGAAGAGGAGTTACATGACAAAAGCCTCAGTCCATTTGAGGGGGAGCTCTGAGCCCCACCAGGCTGGGCCAGAGGCTTTGGCTAAGAGGCAGGTGAGGGAGGTGAGGGAACAGATTGAAGAAGTGGATCCAGATGTGATGGCTAGGGGTGAGAGTGGGGTGGTTTTCGTGTGGTGACTAGGAAGTGGACAGAAGGGACAAAGGGGAAAGGGTGGATGTTTGGAGGTTGGAGGGTAGACTGAGCAAGGCTTGTTTGCTGCCTGCGTCTAAGAGGCAGTGACAGAAAAACTGAGCAGCAGGGAGCTGTTGGTGCCTTAGAGAGAAACAGGGGGCTGGGCTGGGGAAATATTTGGGGGTGGGTGGAGGAATCAGGGAGAGAATTGGAGGAGGCAGTGGGGCTTGCACTGGGCACCAAGTGGAAGCAGGACTCCAGGCCCCAGAAGTCACCAGAGGTAGCATGAAGGGGGAGGGCCCAAATTGGACTCAGAGGGCAGCCCTGGACCTTCTGCTTCCCGGAGGGAGAGGAGAAAGGCCCAGAAGTGGGAGCCAGCAGGAGTCAAGAGGGCGGGAGGGAGAGGAGCAACTGTTGGGGATGATAGGCTCTGGAGTCCACAGGAGCTAAGAGCACACGCCCCATGCCGTGGGGAGGCAAAGGCTTAATTTTTGAGGCTGAGGAGAATCAGCTGACCACAGACCTGTCCAACCTGTCTGAGAATTTGGCCAGGAAAAGACAAGGCGGCTAGGGCAGTAGCTGCAAGGGGCAGCAGATCTGGGAGGGAAGAGGTAGGCCTGTCTACAAGTTTTGCACCATGTCTGCCAAGTTCACTGCTCAGAGTTGGCGCCCAGTTCTTACTTCTGAAGCCAATCAGAGTCCAGGTGCTTGGTGGCTTGCACGTCCAGCCCACGATTCATTCAGGCATCCTCCCTCTGATTGTGAGTGGTCACACCGTGGGCTTGGCTTGGCTATGCTGTGGTCAGTGTTCAGCCTAGTGTTGGCTCAGGGGGTGATTGTGGGCCCAGTGGTTAAATTAGAGAGGAGGGGAGAGGGACACACATGGGAAACAAGTCTTGAGGGGATCTGGAGGATGGCCTTTGAGGCTTAGGTGTGGCTTGATCTTGGGGTGTGAGAAGGAAGTTGCTTCCTGAGGTAGGAGAGGAGGAAAGTGTGCACACTGGGGTGGAGGCCACTCCTGCTGAATGGAGTATCAGTTCCCGTCTCAGAGAGGCAAGGAGATCCCTCAGAGAGGAGGGAGAGGAGGAAGATTGAAGGAGGGGGCAGGTTTGGAACAGCTCCCTGGCAGATTAGACAGGGGCTTTTCGCTAAGAACTGGAGGAAAGGATGTCAGGGGGAAGACTGGCCCTGGGCTCAGGGGACCCCCAATCTGACAGGAGACAGGAGTGCCTGGAATCCACCCCAGCTCAGGTCAGGGATGGGCCAGTGTCTCTGGTCACACTGTATGTGAGCCCTGTGCTAAGACTCTCCCAGCCATGCCCCTGCCCCCCTTTCCTAGTCCCCCAGCGGCTCCTGCCCGTTCCCCCTAATGGGGTGTACCCCGCTTCGCACACACAGGTTGGCGGCTGGACCGTGGACCCCGCGTGCCTCCTCAGCTCCCTCTGCTCCCACCTCCATGGCGACTCCGCCCCCTCCGGGGCTGGCCAGCCGGCCCAGGTGAGTCACCCACCTTTTTGTGGAGGGGGGATACCCAGGATTTTTGTTTTGCACCCCTTTCTCCTTTATTTAGGATCCCTCACCCTTCTCAGGAGCTCCCTCAGTCCTGCACTCGCATCTCCCGTGATGATCCAATTCCCCACCACCACCTCCCCAAACCTGTGACAGGATTTGCCTTTGGAAAAGGAATTTTTTGAGGGGGATACTCAGCCCCCCCACCCACTGCTTTCTCTTTTAAATAGGAGCACCCCCATACCCTTTGAGGAGTCTCATGCCCTGAACTCAATTCCCAGCCCCACTGCAGATCATTTGACCCAGCCTCCCCCACCTCCCAACTCTGAGCCCTCCATTTCTGAGCAGACACAAATTTCCCCTGCCCCCTTCTCATGATGACTCCCCCCCAGCCCTCCTGCTTTATGCAAGGCTTAGCCTCACATTTTTAAGGGGAACTTTCGTATGTCACCACTTGTTCTGAACTTGTCCCCCCTCAAGCCTCAGTTTCCTTGATGGAAAGATGGAGTTCAGCTTAGCTCAGACAGGTTCCAAAGGGCTGGTCAGGTCTGTCCGCAACCATGGGAGAAGAAGGCCTGAGGGGCCAGGAGTCAGTGTTCCAGGGAGTGAGGAGGGCAGTTCCAAGGGGAATTTGGCTGGCAAAGCTTGACTGTGGAGGCTGAGGATGTGGCGGGCAGGGAGTCCATTGAGTAGGATGGGGCTTCCAGCTTCCCTTCCTCACAGCCTGCTTCCTTCAAGAGGAGTAAAAAAGCTTGACTTTTTCCAGGGAAATTAAGAGAAAGCAAAATAGCAAAGGACAAGGAGCCAAGTGTAACTCAAGTCTAGCACCAGATTGGCACGCTTGGCATCAGGCACAGGGCATTCAACTTGCTTCCCTTCCTGGCCCTCAGACTCTTGGCTGAGTTTCAGGGGAACAAGGATGTGTCTTCCTCCAAGGATGGACTGCAAGTGGTGTGGACCTATCTCTAGTGGCCCAGTGCATGATGGGAGCCAAAGTGGAGTCCAGACAGGGAGGGATGCCTATGGGGTGGAGGCCCTCCCCAGACAGAGCGTCTTAGAGCTGGGGTGAAAGAGAGGAGTAAGGCTGGACCTGGTGTGTGCTAGACCACGGGTTCTAGGCTGCCCCCATCAGGATCTGCTCTGAGGAAGGAAAGCGCAGAACTGGAAGCGGCGCTCAGTGCAGTGTGTCCTAATGGTCAGGAGAAGTGCTTGTGTCTGGGAGCTTGACATCACGTGATGGTTACCTAGGACCACCCTTCCTGTCCTTCAGGCTTGAGCCTGAGACTCAGAAAGTGCAGAATCAGAGAGGTTCAGCCAGAACTACAGGCACACAGCAAGGCAGGATCACAGGGCAGCTCCGAAAGTGAGGTATCCCAGACCACCCAGCTTCCCCTGGGAATTAAGGTTCGGGAAGGGACGAGGTGCACAGCTGAGATCCCAGGGGGCAGGGGGCAGGAGGTGGGGTGGAGTGGTGAGGACGGGCTGTGTGCTCTGGGAAGGTAGGGAAGCAGGGGGCAGGACACCCGCTGCCCCTCAAGCCTTAGCGGGTGGGGACAGGAGGCTGGACTCCAAGCCACCGCCCCTCCCCCCGCTTCCACCAGGCTGTCTAACCTCCCTTCCTCCTGCTGCAACCCGAGTCCCGGGCGGCGGGCCGGCGTATCGGGTGACCGCGGCGACGCAGCCACCA